GTGAGTCCGGTGGTACACATACTGTGGATACCATCATTTAGAGCTCCCTCATTTCCAAAAACTTCAGACAACCCTAAATTTTAGTGGGATTTCCATTTAATGCTTCTGTGTCACGGATGAACAGCTCCAGGGACTATGCTACAATTTTCCTAGTAAAACGCAGGGGTCCAACTGCAAAGGAGAGCTTAGGGCTGTTCAAATAACTGGTTTTTTAGTTCAGCTGCCAAGCCAAACAGTAGGAAAAGAATGTTGGTTCAAACTGAACCGAATTCACAATTTTTCCAGGTTTTCACACCAAAACCACTACCATCCCCACCCAGCCCACTGTACTTCATTTAACATGAAATGTTCCATATGTCTCAAGAAAAAACTTCTTTGGAAAACGTAAACATTTGGCAAATGCAAACATAAAAGGCAAGGAAATGCAAGACAAGATTTACAAAATTGTTGCAAAAGGATTGTTCTCTCTGGCTTTATATATACAATTCTCTCCTTCACTATACTGAGGAAGCTTCCACTGTGTTGACTATAACGGGGTTTGCCCTAGCTTCCAAAGTGAGTATCATTAACATCAGGTTGGAGAGTCATTCTTACTCTATTGCTCATTGACTTTAAAACATTATTGAAGTAGTTTGTATAAAGTGGCTCACTGCTGCTAATTGCTCAAGTCCTGTCCTAAGACACAGGAAAGCAGGATCTAAATCTCCAGAGCAGAGGATAGAATTAAACTGCGGCACCCACCATTGCAGATGAACACCTTAACCACCAAAAGAGAAGACAGGAGAGAAACACCCACCTGGTGAGGTTTGTATCCTTCCCATCACTACCAGCATTCTTCTCAGATGAAACTTTCTGGTAGATAGAGATCAAATTGCCCCAAATGATTTGCTCAATGCCAGAAGTGACCTTTTTTTTGACACCACACATTTTTGCTTCAATGTCCTAGGCACTAGAGCATGTACACACACCTTTGAGACAGAAAAGTTTTTCAAATAGGAATATTTGGTAAATTGGTAAATGAATAAATGGTAAATTGAATACCAAGCTTTTCTAAATAAAAAATATTTGATACTATGAATAGAGTTGATTACATGTATACTCCTAGAATCAGTAGAATGAGCTTATAGAACCATAGAATAGTTTAGGTTGGGAAACACCTTTAAGATCATAAGTCCAACCGTTAACCTAGCACTGCCAAGTCCACCACTAAACCATGTCCCTAAGCACCACATCTACGTGTCATGGTAGTATAGATATTTGAAAATGTTTATGTACTTGAAGCTGCAAGACACCTCAGCTCAGAAGATTTACAGAACAGTCCTGGAGAAAATCCTGGCATACAGCAGCTTTCATGTCATTCCTATTCATTTCTACAATCTATTCGTTTTTCTGCATCTTGACACTATTTGCACAAGGGAGCTGCAAGACAAGCCAAAACGTTTCAAATGTCTGAATCGATGAAGGTTTGTGAAGGAATGGCCCTTCTGTTTGGCAAGAACTATAAATCTATAGAGACGTCATAATGACAGTGAAAGTAGGAGGAAAATATATTGTAAAAATATTTATTGCAAGCAGTGATTTCTAATGTGACATAGAAACACTATTGAATATTGTCAGGTAATACTAGTCACTCACACTTGCTGAATAACTGAATGAATCAAAGTAGTCCCTGCCCCAAAAATACAGATTGTAACTTAAGAAAAAGTATACAATATATTTATATACCTGAGCTAGCTGAAATTTTAATTCCAAAGTATGCTTTATATAGTCTCAAAAGACACAGAGGAGAACTGATCATCAGCAAAACATTTGAGTCTGTCTTTTCCTATCTTTCTTCTTTGGGAATGTGGTCAATGGCTCGATGTCCAAGTGGCAAGCAGTGACAAGTGGCGTTCCTTGAGGGTTGGTACTGCGACCAGAACTATTTAACATCTTTGCTGGCAACATGGATTGTGGAACTGAGTGCACGTTCAGCAGGTTTGCCAATGACCCCAAGCTGTGTGCTGCGGTTGACATACCGGAGGGAAGGGATGCAATCCAGAGAGACCTTGACAGGCTCAGAGAGAAGTGATTCTGCCCCTTTGCCCCCCTGATATCCCACCTGGAGTACTATGGAGCTGCTGAAGCGGGTGCAGATTAGGGCCACAAAGATGATCAGAGGGCTGGAGCACATCTCCTCCAAAGACAGGCTGAGAGAGTTGGGGTTGTTCAGCCTGCAGAAAAGAAGGCTCTGGGGAGACTTCATAGTAGCCTTTCAGTACTTAAAGAGAGCCTACAGGAATGATGGGGAGGGATTATTTATCAGGGAGTGTAGTGATAGGATGAGGGGTAATGGTTTTAAACTGAAAGAAGGTAGATTTAGATTAGATATCAGGAAGAAATTCTTTACTGTGAGGGTGGTGAGACACTGGAACAGGTTGCCCAGAGAAGCTGTGGCTGCGCCATCCCTGGAATTGTTTAAGGCCAGGTTGGATGGGGCTTTGAGCAACCTGGTCTGGTGGGAGGTGTCCCTGCCCATGGTAAGAGGGTTGCAACTAGATGATCTTTAAGGTCCCTTCCAACTCTAACCACTCCATGATTCAATGCTTCTATAAAAATAAAATCAAAAAATATTTGGTTTATTGAGATTTAGGTCACAATTTTAAAATATTTTCAAATTTTAGCAAAAGAAGGACAAGTTTAAAGCCAGCACTAACAGCTATATATTTCAGCAACATTTTCTTTGAATGTAACAAATAACTAAGAGGTGACAGATCAATTTCAGCATCACAGGCTGGAAGTACAACAGATAGAAATTTTATAAATTAGAAAATTTTTCTTCACACAATGCCTTTTTAAAAATGGGGAACTGGATTAAACCAAGAAATTACATTTCTACTCAAGTAGCAGAGATGAGAAAGAAATATATGGGGAAAAAGAAAAACAGAAAAACTGAAAGTAGTGCTATTTTTTGTTTGGAATTACTAATACATGGAAACATTGCTTATCAAATTGCACAGAATTAGAATTATTTTTCAAAGGTTACTGAAGACATTTTAATTTCCTTTGTTCTCTTTTATGTCCAGGCTTAACTGATAATCTCCTGTTATCTCCAGTTATCATTATACTTGAAGCCCATTGCTCTGGGGCAAGTACCTATTTGCAGAAGACTATTAGGTTTATTACTAAATAGTAACTAAATGAAAAAAACCTATGGCTTTGAAAGAAGACCTGGCATGCAGATAACATTTATGACTGAGTAAATTCCACTAATACTTCTCTAAGTAATTGTTGTTTTCTGCCATGCTTTGTGACTTTTAATGCGCCCTTCACTTTAGGCATTCAAGATTTACTGGTTATCTTCTTGACTGAGGATGAATTTTAATTTCCAAACTGTGCATGTGCAGCTAGTGTTCTCACCACTGCTTTACCTACCACAGAAACCCACCTACAGGGCATAGCTTACAGCAGCCAATACAAGACCAGGAGTGCACAGAACTTCTGCCATTGCCCAGGAGTCGCAAAGTCACTGAGCTACATTCAGAATATACTGGGTAAAGACAAACAAGCTATTAGGGTAACCAGTAACAGCAATTAGGCTAGTTACAATACCACACTGGCACAACCATAATCTCTCCTGTTCTGGGCTACCTTGTTTAGCACCACCTGAAGACATTGCCTCTCACTGAACTGTGGCACACTGACCTCCCCAAAGACCCAAACAGATTATGAGAATGCCTTAAAACACAGCTGGATCACTCACAGGCAGAGTAATACATTCAGCAAGCACTACAAGATCTCTAGCTTTCACAGAATTACTGTGGAATAGCTTTAGCTGGAGTTTTTAAATATTAGCTAAGGAAAAGGGCTGTTTATATAATTTCAGCACAGCTCTTCATTCCATTTGGATTTTTAACAGTTGCATTGTTCTGGTTCGATTAGGGGATCATCAAAAATTTGCAACATTCTGACCATTTTCAAACATTTCATGTATTTTCATGTCAGAACTGTGGTGGGTCACATGACACGCAGCTGCGCTAACATATTTAGGGTTTGGATACTTATAAGCTCTTGCACTCTGGAGTATTACTTTTCTACTTGTTTACATTTGAGATTTACTGAATTTTGTTGTTTTTTTTAACCACAAGGTTAGAATTTATGGGAAAAAATTAAGCAATAAATAGGTACAGTGTCTTACCTTCATTTTTCATGTCTTGCCTGCCAGCAAAAGGATTAGAGAGATAAAGCTGTTTTTCTTCTGTGAAACTGCAACTAGTCCAGTCACAAGCTCACAAACACTCCTTTCCGTGTCAGCTATACTTTGACCACACAAGTGTGGTTTACAGATTATGGGAGTTACAAAAACACATGGCAAAGAGCTCTCGGCAGCCTCACTTATGTATCAGCAGGAAGAGCTTCCAAGGGACCTCTCCATCCCTGCAGTGCTGAAAAACTTCCAGGGAAAATCTTCCTGGATACTGATGATCTTGTTTAAGTCAGGGAAAACTGTACTCTCAGCCACCTCTTTCATTATGGGGAAGTACCAGTTCACAGAAAAATTACTCAAACACAAAGCTTTACCTTTGAAACACAGAGCTTTACCTGCATAAATTCTGATAACAAAAACTAGTCTGTACCAGCAAATCACAGACACGCTTCATCACTTAATCACACAGACAGATGAACAGACCCCATAATTCTTTCTAAAGGGGCATGACAACAACCATAAATATACCCAGTGTGCACTATCTTATCTTGTTCTTTCTTACCTCTGCAGGTTTTTTAAAATGCCATCAGCCTCAATGGTGGAACCTGGGGCATGCCTAATACTGGGTGCTGGTAACATGATTTTTTAAACAGATAAATTTGCATTTAGGCATATAAAGAAGAAAGTGATTACACTATCTTTGAGGGAAGTATCTGAAATTATATATGACAATATTTCATAAATGGAATATTTACAATGCAATTTTTTCATAAGGATTGCAAAAAGTGATCCAATAAAAACAGGAGTCAGTCAGTTGGGTGCAGCTGGTTTAATGAGAAGTTCTTCAGAATCAGTGCTGTGAAGTTTGGAAAAACGATGGCAAATTCTATGGTTGGAGAACTAGGAAGGGTAAGTATGTCACCTTCAGTCTCACAGCAAAAGTGCTTCAGCACAGACTCAGTAAAGGAATAAGTTCCACATGTCCTTTAGTTGCTGCTACAGGTGTTTCATAGGTATTAGCTAATACCTTCCAGTCCCAACCTCAGACACACTTAAGCACACGAAAAAAATCACACTCAAATGCTATTCTCAATCCAACTTCAGATTAAAAAAAAATTAAATTTTGGAATGCCAAAACTACTCAGATCACTACCTCAAGCCTTCTCTGAGCATAAGGGGAGTGACACAACTCATTGTTCTTAAGATTGTCTTAACTGACAATAAGAAGCATGCTCCTATTACAGAATAAAAGGCTCACATCAGTTAATCTATTGCTGAACACTTAGAAGTAATTTAAAGGAGGTCAACACAAGACTAGGGCATAATTCTGACTACTTGCAGGTATTTCAGCCACCTTGTTTCCACTTGAGATACCATGACAAGATAAATAATTGCATGCTCATTAACTTGCCTTAGGAAAGGAAAAAGACCCCAAATTTGAAAAATGCAATCATTTGTCAAATAAGACCAAGCTTACAGGAGAAGCTGTGAGATGGTCTGCTTGCATAACTTGATGACGTCTTTCTCTTGCCCTTGAGGTATTGAGCTGGCATAAAGTCTCCATTGCCAGAGAGTACCACAGTTCTGCAACAGCTGATAAAAACTTGGACATTGTATTCTGTGGGGAGGAAATTCCCACGTTTTCAAACAAGTCTTCATTCTACATAGGAGTCAAAACATGGCATCACAAAGTTTCCTGCAAGAAGGAAATTTCAACACATTCAGTTTTAGAAAAATAAGGTCATTTGATTGTTTAGTTGTTTGGTTTTTTTCCCAGATGAACTTGGACAACAAGCTGCTTCAGGGGAATCCTGAGATTGCCCCAAGACCTAGAAGTGTTTGAGGAACACCCCTTGGGAGTAGGCTGTACCCAGTCAGGGCAGATTTTCGACATCCTCAGAAGTAGAACTGTTTCTGCTACAAACCCATCTGGTTTCACATACAGCCAACTTTCATGCACTACACATTCCCGATATTGGTTGGGTTTTGCTCATATATATGAAACAGAATCTGCATTTGGGTTCTATTTTTTCCCAATATACAGCCTTGTTTGCCATTTTGTTTCCCATTTCTTAGACAGTACTGTCTGCCTGCACAAAGAACTGGATGTTAAGCAGATATGACCAATAGAAATGTTTTTTTTCTGAGCCAATGCAGGGGTCAGTCTAGTCTTCCCTCCAGCCTCTGTGATAACTGATGACTTCATTGGAAAAAAAAAAAAAAACAGCCCTGTATGTTCACATGAATCCAGACTGGTTCTCTGAAAAATATAAATTCTCCATCAGGATCAAAGCTTTGCAACCAGATACCATCTTGGCACAGAAATGTGTTCATGAGCTTCTGTACTTTTTTCTACCTGGTCTGTCTCCTTCTACTCCTGGTCACACCTCTATTTACATTAAAATGTTTTTAAAAAAAGAAGCCTACCCAATAAAATCTGTAACACCTCAAAAGGATTGCAAGCAAGTCAACAAGCTAAACCCTTTCAATGTATATGCACTGATCTTCTACACAGTAGTATACCCTTATTATTACTACAACTATCACCCATCACAAGTGGTGATCATCATCAAGTTCTGATGGTCCTGTACCGACAGAATTCCCATTACATACTCATCTATCCAGTTACATTAACTTTGCTTCTGCTTTGCACATCTGCTTCTTTGCCTGAAAAAGGTCCAGATGCCTCTTCTGATTCTGAATAGACAAGAAAACAACACCTTTCCCTAATACCAGGACCCTAATTAACAACTAGAAAAGAGCCAGGAACTGCCACAGGAACTGGAATCATCAGCAGGAGCAAGGAACCAAGACATACAGGAAGCAAGAACCAGAGAGGCATGAGCAGGAAGAACATGATGAACTTAGAAGGTGGCTGCATTAACTGCAGCATTATCCCAAATTACTAGCTTCTGTTCAGAAAGAACAAAACACTTTTCACAATAAAGACTGGTGAAAGACATATTAAATATTTGCTTTCCTAGTAGTCCTATCCTGCATACACCATTGAACAGTGACAGGGAAACAAAGGGACAGAAAATGGACAATAGGATCACAGATGGGAAGCAATGATGGAAGCAGCTGCAAACAGAAGGGATGTGTCCAAAAGGAAGCTTTTCTGTTCAGAAATGGGTCATTCTCAGAAAGTATTTGGAAGCCTTGCAGCACAATGAAATGATTTTACCCATCTCAGGTATGTCTAATGCTCCGTACAAAACATTGGACTTCCTGGGGCTATAGCAGGTCACATATTATCAGTCCCATCCACTTTGAATGAGGCAAGTTACATAAAAAATCCTGGATGATGCAAAGGCCAGAAATGTACCCTCTGGATGCCAAGTGCCCAAACAAGTGACAGGGTGAATGTCCAAACTCATCCTTTTTACCCTATATTAAATCTGCATTCAACATTCTTTTGTATACTACCCACTAGCCAACTGGAAGTCAACTCAGTGTCAATATAGGTGAAAAGGTTTGGAACAGCCATCTGTCTAGAGACTGCAATAGTCTTGGCTTGCATAGTCAGTGTACAATCTGCTTTGCTTTCAGGAATACAGCCTAATGGAATCAGTCATCAGAAACAAATTAGCCTGGGTGTTGCAAGCCTTTATCTTGACAGAAGATTAAAAGTGTTTACAATATAGTTGTCTAACAATCAGCATTCTCCTCTGTGATTCACCCTTACAGAATTGCATAATTCTCACCTAGATTCACCAGCTCCTGGAAAGCAAGGAATCCTTTTCCACCTGGAAGGTGTAGCTATTGGTGTAGCATCCACCATGGGGGAATAAAGGCAAGCCAGAAACCATAAAGCACTATCTCATATCAACAGACAAGTCTACAATGGTTCGGAGGCCAAGTTCTGAGCATTTCCATTGCATTAAATGAATCAAATATTCACAAGTCACAACAGCTACAAAGGAAATCAGCCAACACACTGGTAAACATGCAATTGTCATTGCATACCATCAGCTATACTGCCGCTTACTGCCTTCGTACCTATAGTCTGTGCCTCTAGGAGGCACTATCGAACTACAGTCCAGGGCACCTAAGGCATTTAGAAAAGCAGCCACAGCCATAAATCCTCTTTTCACATGTTGTTGTTCATTTGCTCTCTATGAGGAGATGATTTATTTCTGTGGTAGGGAGCTACTCAAAGTAAAGCCTCAAAACATCCTAACAAGGATAAGTGTGACATATGTGTTATGTCAGCCAGTACCCATTAGAAGGCCTGTTTCCTAGAACTGACATAGATGCAAGTATTTTCTGTAAAACAGTCAACATGCTGACACCTTCTCTGATATTATGGAGGTCATTGTGAACTAGGAAATGCAACTTCCACTGACCTTTTTGTTTAGTTTAATTTTTCAGAACATTCTTCATGAAACATATCATGTTGTGTCAGGACGTATTATGTCATGTAGGTGATACACATATCATGTGATATACATCCTCCATCTCAGTACTCTGAGCCAAGCTTTTCCTCACAGTCTTGATTCTTCATGATATTCAGCAAATACAGCCATAAGAAGGATCCCCATGGACAGTAATTCTCTTTCCACAGTGAATCACCATCGGTCATTCTCTGCAAACCAGCATTCTGGTGAGGGGCAGAATGAGACCTCTTCCCCTTGGATACTATGGGTGGTAAAGCTCCATCTTGGTTCAGTTGAACTGGGCTGGTGCAGAATTGGAGTAACATAATGGTGAGTCAGGCTCACTATGCTTGCCCATGGAGTATTTCATTGTGTTCTTTTTGTTTGTGGTTCATGCACATAATCTAAAAGGTCATTCTACACTGAAAGCAGTTGTTTTGCCTTTTCTAATGGAAAAACAATTCCCCATCTCACAATCCATAACAATAAAAATAAGAACAACAAAACCCCACCCACATGAAAGAACCAGCCAGCAAGAACATCCCATTGCACAACATCGCCCCATCTCATAGAGGCCAACCCTTCCCAATTCTCCCTAGATATCTGTTCAAGAAGCTGGGCTATAAAGCATGCCCTGAAGGTGAACAGCTCCAAGAGTTCTTGGTCCTTTGCTTGATCCAAGCAATTACTGTGACTCATTGTTCTTATTTCATGAGTGACTTTAGTTTAAGGTCAATATGACAATGAGGTTGTCATGCTTGGACAGTAAATGATACATAGAAAACAGATGTTAACAGGTGTCCGCATACTACTCCCAGTTGCCACTGGACTTACGTGTTTACTGCAAGTTATGGTGCAGACAAAATTGGACTCTGAGCTAATTAGTTTGTCTTTAAAATTTCACTCTCAGAATTGTTCTGTCTGAACTCTATTTCTATTGCAACTGGTGGAGTCAATAAAACTTCATGGGTTTTGTTTTTTTTAAAAAGGTCAAATATGCATAAAACATATAATTTGATTGAAAATTAGAAGTGTCTCAACTGAAAACAGCCAGTGTTTCTCAGTAGCTTTTAATAGACATTTGGTTTTGACAGTTCTCTTTTGATTTTTCTTCTCTTTTGCTTTGGTTTTTAATCAAAAGTTAGTCCACAAAATTTCAAAGTGGAAAATTATTACTTGGAGATGAGATGGAAAGTAAAAAAAAAAAAAAAAAAAAAAAAAAAAAATAAAAAAAGACCTGTGACATTTGGGATAGCGTGTTACCGGACAGAGGGATAATGGAA